TCATACAATAAGTGGGGAAATCCAAAGTTACTTAAAATAACCAAGAGCTCTTAAAAAGCTATTTCAAAGAAGCAATAATTATTAATACTATTAAACAATGATTTTAAAAAGTTACAGCCTGTATTTGGGTTGTCATCAAATCAAGAGAGACTCTCATAGCAACCTTATGGACCTTATGATCTGAACCATGCCCTATCTTACCGCATCCTTACAATCTCCTTATTGATGAAATTGGCACATTTGGGGTGACTTTGAGATAGGCTAGGGATAAATGAGTGCCAACATATTTCAGATTCCTGATTGAAGTGACTGGGTAGAAAACAATGCCATTCCCTAGAGAAGAAACTAGAAGCAGAGAATGTGTATTTTAGGGACATTGAGCCTTATTGTCTTTGAGAAGTCTTTTCGATATCCCAGTACTGCATGTGCTACATGAATAAGTATGGTCATCATTATCCTTTACTGTACATTCCGTTCCATTCATTGTGCAGCCATTGCTATTATAATCGAACAGTTTTTATTAACTGACAAAATTGTTCTAAGTCCTTCACATATTTTAAACCGCTTAACCTTTCCAACAGCTTCTTGAGGTAAATATCATCAACCATGTTTTTCAGATAAGGAAATTAAATGTGCAAGCCCACAGAGCTGGAACATGGTAGGATTGAACTTAAAAACTTCATAGTCTGGCTTTTGCTTCCATGTATTTCACTCTTGGGCCTGTTCATGTATTTAGCTTTTAGAATAAAGTATCTTGGTGCTCAGTTGGTTAGTCTGTTGAATGATAGTAAGTCGCTGGTACATTCAAAGGACACGAACAGTTTCTCAATTAGTGATTAAGCTTTGTCTTTTGGCTTTAGTTTGTAGTTGATAGTTGTATACTGAGGAGATCTCTTTAGAATACATAGGACTATATTCCAAGTTGCCAAAGGATTTCCACATCCCTGTGAATTTGTGTAATGTGTGTTCAGTCTGTGTCAGTTGACAGCATCATTAGTAAAAATAATTTGCCAATAAAAGAAATACTTGAGATATTTATCATGTAACTTGGAGCAGCATCTCAATAGTATCCTTTTTAGTTCATTTGTGTGAAGACTTGATCCATGGGACAGACCACACTCAAGAATTCAGTGGTGATTTATATGGCATATTACGGTTCTCAAAATATCATATATGAAAATTATTCCTGTTTTAAAAAAAGATTTATCTAAATATTCTTTTTATACAGATTTATATGCACTTAATCAATTTGTCTATTTTACAGCATTTAATATACATTTACTATTGAGCTATGCTGAGTTATTCTTTTATGTGGGTTTCTTTATTTTTTATCTTCATATTCTTTAGCACCCTTATTCCTTAAGTACCTGATATGTCAAATGATACAAATATTAGGATATGAACACTTCTTTATAAAGACCGTTTATTATCTTTTCACAGGAGGAGAGACTTCAGCATGCAAACCTTCATCTGTTCGGCTTGCACCGTCATTTTCATTCCATGCTGCTGGCCTTCAGATGGCTGGACAGATGCCCCATTCACATCAATACAGTGACCGTCGCCAGCCAAACATAAGTGACCAACAGGTTTCTGCCTTACCTTATTCTGACCAGATTCAGCAACCTCTAACTAACCAGGTAAGTTCATGATGTATCTGAAGTGATTACCTGAATGATTGTTTTATTTACTAAAATCCTGAAGCACCAAAGAGGCAAGCTTTTAGCTTTCTACAGTGCATTGAAGTCTAGATTGGCTCAACAAAGTTGGCATTGAAATGTATTAACACTCACATTCCCTCATTCTGGAATAAGGGGAAAAGTTCTTTCTGCAGAATATTAGTTAAAAGAAGTTAAAGAAAAATCTTGTTTTCATGGAAAGTTAATGAAGTAGAAAAAAGTTGAAAGAAGCAAGTCCTGTTAAATTACAGCAGACTTACCTGATTTTAGGCTGTTAAACTATTATAATACACACTGTGGTAACACACTCTTTTAATGAATGTTGAAATCTTGTACGTGTGTTGTGTATGTGGAGATGAAGTGTTTAATACTTTTCTGAATGTGTTACACGTGCTTTAATTACTATAGTTAGGGTTAAGTTTTATTGTTTGTTGCTATAGTTATATAGTAAAAATTAAAAGATTCTTTTAGTGGTTATTGGATGCTTGATGAGCACAACAAAATAGTTGCTTTGTCCATGTACTTTGGAATTTGGATTTTATAGTTTTATTTAGGTCTTTTAATTAAATGATCAAAACGTGTGGGGTTCTTTTTTTTAAATTAGAAAATAGTTTTAATACTGGATTATTTATATGAGAAAATGGTTTTCCGGAATACAGCAACATACAAATCTAATGAGCATTTGGTTATAACTTTCTCAGTGGATGTACTTGGGTCTTTTGTAATTCGATTTTAATAATATATAAACTTGCATGTTTGCATTTATAAAATACTTCACAGAAAATAGTTGATAAGGTAAATAATGTCAGTGTTTAGCAGTCATCTCATTTGTTTCATTCAGTGCATTTGCAGAGAAATATGCATAGTGTTTGAGAATTATATTCTGTGTCTGAGAATTGAAATGCTCAGTTAAAATGTTCAGTAAATTTGCAAAGTATATTCCAGAAGAACATCTTTGGACATCCAGGAAATAAGAATAGCACAATGATACATTTGCGTTGTGCATTTAAGAGACAAAGTATGTTCAGAGTCATTTTCCCACTTGTTCAAAACAAGTCTATCAGGCACTGTGCTATTTTTACCTCTGCTTTATAGTGGAACAGATTGAACTCTGCTTGTGATTTCTCCAAGCGTAGAAACAATAGACTTTGGGTTCCAGCCCAAGCCCCTCTCTCTCTCTCCTTGGTATAGTGCTCTTACCACTTCTCATACCTGGCATTTACAAAGGACTTGTGTGTGTACAGGACAGAGGCATGTGTGGGAATTTCACACCTTTCAGCGAGAGAGGTGTGTGTGTGTGAGAGAGAGAGAGAGAGAGAGCACGCGCAAGCGAGCAAGCAAACTGGACACACAGGCGGAATTTCAGACCTTTCAGAATATTTTTATAGTTACATACTTTCTATTTTTAGATACATTAAACATCTTATTTTAAAATAAAATACTTAAATATTTCCATTTTAAACTATAAAATAGTTTAAAAATATGCACTTAATATTAAAAGATTGTCTTTAAATAATGCTACTGTACCAAGTGTTTTTCCGCAAACCCAGGACTTTTTTGGACCTACTAAGGCAGCTGTTTTACAAAACTTGTCTTATATAAGAGTTTAAAACAGAAAAGCCGTGTGCTAAGATGAAATACTCTCCAGAGTATCAGATACAGGCTCAAAGATCTGGTATAGAGAGGTCACATATACCTTTCATATTTGTTCTTTGTATGTAAAGAAGAGGGGACACCATAGACCAGGTTCTTTGCAGTGTCTGCTAACTTTCACATTGTTTTGTTTCTTGTTACACATCATCCCAGTGCTGATGCTTATCAAGAATTATACAGTTAAAAAGAAATTATACAATGTCAAAATAAGATTTCTTGTATAAATTCAAATTAGATAAATAACATTTTACTTCTGACAGTTGATATTTATTATATGTAGGTTTTTGACTTGGTAAACATTTTAGAGCAATAGTCAAAACAGTAAAATTTAGAAAATTAGAGCTGTTCAGTAGAAGTAAATGTAGTAAATTGGTGATTAAGGTTTGGACTGCTAAGACTTATAATTTCCACAATATCTTTCCTTGTTCTCAAGTTATATAATTATTTTAGATATGTGGTATATATGCTGTCCAGATTCATTAATATCTGTTAAAATAGCAAGAAAAGCAGCACATGTTATTCCTAAATTTGAATACACGAAAATATGAAAACGTAAATAAAATTAATGAAATGTATGTACTGTTAAACTAGAATTTTTTTAGTAAGATTCTATGGGCTCTTCAAAAAGAAAAAAAAAGGCTGTTTTAAATCTTAAAACTGATATAAACAGGAGGCGCAAACTGCTCTTGATCTTCTTTGCCCTATAATCTGTGCAAAAATGCTTAAAGAGTTTGCACAATAGATACATAGTTTTTTTCTAGCTGTAGGAGCCAGATAGCTGAGGCAGCAGGATGCTATCTCATTAGCTTTCCTTTTTTGCAGTGAGGACACTGTATATGGAGGAGCAGGGTTTGGGGGTTGTGGTCATTCAGGTTGTGGAGAATCGAGGACATGAGCCACTTGCCGTTTTGGGCCCTCTGAACACCTACCTTTGCCTTAACACTCAAAATTAGCAGGGAAGAAGAGAGCTTACCACAATACCATAAATGCTCCTGAGTTTTAAAGATACAAGAACTAGGGGAGCTCTGGTGGCCTAGTGGCAGGGAGCTGCAAGTACAATCCCAGAGGCGCACGGTTCGAATCCACCAGATGCTCTGCCGGGAAAGGAGGGACAATCTCCTCCTGTTCCAGTCAGATCTGATTTGACGGTACACTCACACAAAAATAATAAAATTAAAAAAAAAAAAAAAAGATACAAGAACTAGAAAGAACATCAGATATTTAGGACTGGACTTGAATTTTGTGTAGATTCATTAATTGAATGTTTGGAAAAATTTTCTAATGCTAAGGTTGTGCTTAAAGTAGTGTAATATTGTAAGCAGAAAATTTGGTTAACCTGGATTCACAACAAAATTTGGCAAAAGGAATGCCATTTATTTTTTAGAAAGGACTTTGTTCATTCCATTTATTTAAAGCATTTACACTGTTCAGAGTACTACTTGAAGCCCTAAAATACACTTTGAAGACCAGTTTTGGGGTGGGAGTAAAAATATATCTGCCTTTAAATCAAGGTGTCCCCAAAATAGCAATTTATAAATTGAAAAAGTAAGGTATTATGAATTACCTGATTGATTGACCTTTGTAGGCAGTTTTAACTATTGTAGAAAAGTATAATGAAATTTTATGATGTGCCAAGCACAAAGTCATTGGTTGCAGAAATTTTGATCTTGCTTCTCAAAGTCATGCTCATAATCCAATTTCATCTTTGTATCAGACGTGTAAAATTATTTTTTTGATTCAATGATTTCGATGTTTTGAGTGACAGTAATTAACTTCTGGTAAGATGTAGTCATTGATTCTTCTTCCAGATGTTTGAAAGAACAGTGGCATTGTAAATGGCAAGTTGAGATTTCGTATTGGTAGTTTGATGCGTGATTTTTATTATGCATACTTTAATTCTTTTGCCCTGTTAATGCTTAAACTAGGGATGGCATAGAAGCATAAAGTTGACGGAAAGCTCTTAATATTGTGAATTTGGTACACATTCCGTTTCAGTTTCAGCTATGCTCTTTGTAGGCACAAGGATCTTGGTCAAGAATTTTGAGTTCCTCATTTGCAAAATGGTAACAAGAATAGTACTTTATGAAGTTATTGAGAGTATTGCATAACAGACATGTGAATATATGTGTACACACGTGTATCATAGTGTTCAGAAAATATTGGCTTCAATTATTGTTTGTTTTCTATTCATTTGGTCCTATTGTTATAAATTTTATCACCTTTTATTAAGTTGATACTAAACAATTACATTGATTCAGACTTTGTCAGCCTTCACATTAAAGTTGTTTCAAGAAGGGTCTTACTGAGTACATTATCTCCATGAGACTTTAAAAAAAAAAGTAGGGAAACCACTTGCTAAGCAGTCTCTTTATTACCTAAATGCTTACAATAATCATTCTTATAAAATTAGTTTGCTTATTATTGATTTTCCTAGTCATTAAATTCAGTCTCTCAAGAAGAGTATAAGAATCAAATGTTAATTTAGTCCTTATTAAAATATATAGTGTGTGTGTGTGTGTGTGTGTGTGTGTGTACCATCAAATCAGATTTGACTCGTACAGGAAGAGATTGCCCCTTTCTCCAGCAGAGGATCTGGTGGATTTGAACCAGATAGCTCTGGGATTGCAATGCAGCTTCTTGCCACTAGGCCAGAAGAGCTTCCCTAAAAAATATTTTTTAAAAATCAGGTTATTTTATTCATTTCAACTATACCTTTTCATAAATAGTTAAAATCACCCAGATTTTTTCCCATTCTCCTTAAATTGTATTTGTAACTTCATCAGAGGAAAGGTACTTTTAATACAATTATTACCACCTAAATAATAACTTTTTATTGGTCTTAAAGAAAGTACACTTAGGTAGGTACTATAACCATTCCATCTTTTCAGACTTTCTATTCAGTGCTCTCTATTTCCTTGCTCTCGTACCTTCTAACCCTCCTTTCTTCTTATTTGTTAGTGTGAGTAAGGTAAAAATTATCCTAGGAGAACAGACATATCTTTGAGGCTTTGGTAGAATTCTGTATTTCAGTCTGCTGTCCCCCTTTTTGTATAGGTTGTTTTCTAGATTTCCAGCTCAAGAGATTTTACCAGTTTAAAATGTCTTAAGAGCTAAACAGTAACACAAAGGTGGAATGGTAGTAACTACACGTATTATGGAAAATGAATTGGTTTTGAGAATCTTTTCATTGCCTGTAGCCTCATCAGAAACCCTTTTACTGAAGTCGACACTTGGGTCGAAGAGTGGGGCTCGATTGTCAGTCTAGTGTCATGGCATATTTTGTTGTGACGTGTTCAGTCCAGTGTCATGGCCGCATTTGTGATGTGTTTCAATATAGAGGCCACTTATGTACCTACTTCATTTACAGTGGAAATGATATGGCATGAAACTGTCTCTTGGGTGTTGTAGAACACATAACTTAGGACTGAGGTTGTTGTGTCAGGGGTAATAAAGTATGATTGAAATTAAATTTAAAAGAAAATACTAGATTATGTCCAATAAAATTTCTTGTGTTCAGCACCTAGACTTATCTTCTTGTGTGTCCAATAGTAGTAATACAGACAGTAGTAGCAACAGATATTTATCTAACACCTACCATGTGCCAGATATGTTTTTTAGTCAAAGACTAAAACATTGAACAAAAAAGATTCTGAGGTTTTATTGGAGTAGAAGGTAGAAGATAGAAAAAAACAAAACAAAAAACCCCACTAAATTGGATAGGAGATTAAAAAAAACAACACAAAAAAACACATTAAATTGGATAAATATGGTAGATAAACTCCTTGAAGAATAATAAAGCAGACAAAGGCATGAGGATGAGAACATGAGGGATTAGATTGTTAGCATAGTCTGTTTATTACTTCTGTTAAATAAGAATATTTCCACCATAAGCCTTAGAGGGCAGATCTTTAGAGGACCTGTCTTAGCTATGAGTAGCTGAATTTTTCAGCACTAAGCAGTTTAAAGGTATACTGCTATCTTGTGTCAACTTGTTTTTTGGCGTCATTTGATTCTTTGAAACTCTCTTAGGCAACTTAAAGTTGCATTTGTTGGTTGAGTTTGGCTTTGACTGCCTACTGTGAGCAAGATCAAGTTTGAGGACTGTCTGTCCTGGACTAACTACTAATACTGACTCAGAGGTGTGCCTATTCTTCCCCTGTTTAATTTGGGCAAATAGGGTTGCTGGCTCTGGCAACTATGCACGTTGTCTTCTACTTGCATTTATTTGCTTTAGTATTTCCCTTTATAGATTTCAGATAGGCGATAACTTTCACAGAGAATATGTAATTTTTTAATTGTAGATAACTTCTTGGGGAAAAAAGAATAGATAAGATACAGGTCACAGAAAAGAGAATTTATATCATGTTATATTGTTAAAGTGCTAGTCTTTTCTGTCTATTTAAGGTGATGCCTGATATTGTCATGTTACAGAGGCGGATGCCCCAAACCTTCCGTGATCCAGCGACCGCTCCCCTGAGAAAACTTTCTGTTGACTTGATCAAAACATATAAGCATATTAATGAGGTAAGACCATAGATTTGTTGAAACAGCATCATCTATCTTGGAATATATTGATGCTGACAGGGGTCTGGGGAATAATATTATAAAAATTCTTAATGGTTATCATACAGAAAAAAAAAATCTATGAACATCAGTAAAATAATGATTTACACATAACTTAAGTGTGTAAGAGGAAGCTGTATTGACAAGAACTGTAAAGGGAAAAAAAGTAGGTAACTTCCTTTTGTTGCAAAATATACCAAATTGTCATTTTTAAAATAATACTCCCCCTAGAAGAAAGGGAGCACATACGAGAATATTGCAGTATATGCAGTATATATCTTAGTTTTTATATTCATGTTTCTACTTTAGAAACTTTCCTGTTTCTACTTTTGGTGGTATAGTCTTTAGGGAATTGCTATGCTAATCCAAAAACATCACCTCTCTGACAGTTCAAATCTCCCAGTGGCTCTGAAGGAGAGCTGTTTACAACTTATGAAAACCTACTAGAAGGCCAGCTTTGAGTCCTTTCTAACTCGGTGGCAGTACTTTTGAATATGTGTTTCTCTTTGTGTCAATAAACAAGAGAGGGGCCAGCAAAAGAGAGGGAGACCCTCATGGAATAGAGATGAATTAGCAGTGACTGCAACAGTGAACTTAAGCACCACAAAGATTTTGAGGATAACACAGGATCAGACAATGTGTCAAACTCATTTGTAAGATTGCTGTGTGTTGGAATAAGCTCAGACACTTAATAACAATATAGAACATTTGCCCTAGTCTTTTTAAATTTCTACCTTCCTGTGATTTTACAAGGTCTTTAAAAAAAACCCAATGTGTGAGATCCCCTCTGTATTTATTTCCAAGGATAGAGGTCCGATTGTGTTTAGGGCTGTAACTTTTTTTGGGTTGAAAGCCAGAAAAATAAACTAATAATAAACCAAAACCATCATCTGTTTCTTTCATTGTAGGATATCTTTTTGGTGATAGTAAGTAGAATATAAAATATAGGCAGTGCTTTGAATGATTTGTTTCATAACTTGGTTCTGTCGGCAAAAGTTATTTTTCTGATGTTTGGGCCATTGCCTTATTTGCCATTGGCTTTGTCTGCAATTCTACCTTAGTAATTTGTATAGTTCAACCTTTGAGAGCTAGAACTCAATGAAAAGGCCTTGCCTTAGTTTTTCAAATCCCACTTTTCCACCTTTGACAGAGTACAGTTTGCCACTTTTCTGTTGTCCACTGTTGGACTATTTACATTTTCACTCTTTAACAGAATACCACTTTATACAATTTCCACCTTTCATAGATTACTGTAGGCCATTTTCTGGAAAGCGTGTAAGTGGTTCTACTTTTTTTGCTTTTTCTTTCTCTTCACTTTTCCAATGGCCTTTAACGGTAACAGCTTACCCTCTACCAGTTTTGCTATTGTCATGTGCCGTTAAGTCAGAATCAGCTCATAGCTTAACCTCCAGCGAATTTTCAGAGACTTAATTCATCCGAGAAGAGCTAGACCATCCTTCTTCCATTGGTAGCTTTGGACCACTTGATTTTCGGTGGACAGCGTACCTCCTTACCCACAAAGAGTTGTGCTGCCAACCTCCAGAGCCATTTAAATGAAAAGTTCTTATGTGCCTATCAATTTTTTAGGCCTTTGATACCAGTGTTAGTGTATTTCTGTGACACAGTGACACAATGATGAAGTAAGTGAACATTTGTGAGTTAGATTTTATACACATTACTGTGTTATAAAAGATTTAAAATACCACATAAAATGTAGACATTTTCCTTTAGTACTCTATACAGTATAATTTTCATGTAAATACCAGTTGCTTGAGACTATTGACAGTTTATCAATTATTTATTACTAGTATTAAAAGTTTATACATGTCTTTGGTTTTAGTCCTTTTTACCTGTTTATAAAACTTAAGGTTTTACATATGTCATCTTTCAGCTCTTTATAATGTGAATTTCACTGTAGCCATTTTAAATTTTCTTGGGTATATCATTCAGTTTATTACTTTTTATGTAATACAGTTGTTAATTATAGGAAATCTGTTTATGTTTTAAGTTAGTACCAAAGAATGAATATCTATTAGCAAGAGACAAAACAGTTACTCATATATGCAGCTCTACCCCAATGATTTAAGTTACATTGTTAAAACTGTATATTCTGATTTCAGGTTTACTATGCAAAAAAGAAGCGAAGACACCAACAGGGTCAGGGAGACGATTCTAGTCATAAGAAGGAGCGGAAGGTTTATAATGATGGTTATGATGACGATAACTATGATTATATAGTAAAAAACGGAGAGAAGTGGATGGATCGTTATGAAATTGACTCCTTGATAGGCAAAGGTTCTTTTGGACAGGTAATGGGATATGATTAATTTAATGAAGTAGAACTTCTTAAGGTATCGTGTTTTTCATGTCCTTTTATCATGAGTACATTTTAAGTATATGTACATCTGAACAGTGTAAGTATTTGGGGTTACCACAGTGTCTAAGGATAGTACATTAGCTATTAAAATGCCTTTAGACTTTTTCTTTACATTTTATGGGTATTTTTTTGTAACGCTTTATATGATAGAATCTATGTATGTTACTAAGTCTTTCTTATGTATCTGTTTGCCCTCTTCTCTGATAAACTTCTTTTAAGAAAATTAATTACCCTTCTCAGCTGCCTTTGCAGTTACCTTCCCACTTTTCTGGAACCTTTGAGAAACACCCCCCAAATCCCCCATCCCATCTTCTAACTATACCAGACCTCCAGAAGGGCCAGATTTCCTCTTTGAACTCTTTAATTACCATCCGAACTGCTGGTTCTGTTTTAGAGTCATTCCAGTGAAAAGCAGCAGCCAGGCAGCTTCTCCCAGGAAGTTTGAGGGAAGGACTGAGCTACACCTAGTTTTTTCTTTGCCATTCAAGATGATGGCACATCTGTCTGCCCACAGCCTGCCTTTCTTCTCCTCACTCATAGCTCAAACACGAAGTATACAACCCTAAGAATACTAGTTTGTTGATCATTTTCTCCTCATTCCTCAAGGGCTCCAATCCTTCCTCACATTTTAAGAAACCTTTTTACCCCTGGCTCTGGGTCTCTTTGCTGTTAGTACTTAGCACATTTTCCTTTCTCATTGAGACACAGAATTTACTTGTTTGAGGTGTGCTTTATCCTTAGCTACAATGGTTTTCAGTCAATGGCAGTATGTTTTTATTCTTTATGTAATTCTCATTCGGTGACTGGTGTAATCTGGATGAGTGTGTCAGAGACAATGAGATTGGCACAGGACAGAACAGAGTTTAGGGCTGTTGTACATAGGGTTGCTATGAGTCAGTCGCAGGCGACTCGACGGCACATAACAGCAACAACAATTCTCATTTGTATAGTACCTGTACATACTTTTCAATGTATAGTCTCCCACCCAAATAATCTTTTTTGCTTTCAGGATAGGTAATTGGAATGGGATTCAGAATGTCAGCAAGCCATGAAGTAACTGGCATTATTTCCTTGTGCCTGATTTTCTGTTACTCATATAATTCAAGACTGTTTTTCCTTTTCCTTGATTTATAATAAGTTTTTATTCTGAGTCAGGGTTTTCTCAATGCTTTAACAGCCTCCTCTATAAAGATACTCCTTTTTGTCAGAAGTAACCTCTACTTTTCTGAACTTCTTACAGAAAGTTCTTTCTGAGTTAATAGTACTTAACCAAGGCAATAAATACTATAGATTTAGACATTTTCTGTCTCCACTTGGGAAAAATCATATATTTGAGACAATGTCTCCCAGTGAACATAGTGTTAACTTTTGTGACAACCTCCACAGAAATTGTGACTGTAGGGCCTATTCCTTTGACTTAGTTTTGTCAGAATACTCAGTATTCTTACTCAAAATTGTTTTCATCCTTGTCTCTGATTTTTAACAATTTTTAACCTAATTTTAATGAAAGTTTACAGAAAATTTGATTTTCATTCATTCATTGTTAAACATTTGAACTCCCTTTTTACTCCCTCCCTTCCATCCTTCTCCCAGTTCATGGGTTTTATTTTTGTTTTTAAATACTTATTTTTGTACAATGAAATACTATACAGCCGTGAAAAACATTGAGCTCATAAAACACAACACGGGTGACCCTGTAAGACCATTATGCTGAGTGAAATAGCTCAGTCAAAAAAGGACAAATACTGCATAGCACCACTCTTGTCTGACTTGAGGGTTTGGGAGGAGAATAGGGTAAGAGTGAATAGATAATGAACATGTTAATTTTTCTCTACTTTAAATCCCAAGATTTCTTGAGCATAGTAAGCCTATAAAAATGTAAGTCTGCCTTATATCTAATGCCTGTTTTCACAAAGTTAAATGGATAAGTAGCCTTCTAGACTGAAGTACTGTGGAGTGTCCATATTTATTTTCAGGTCTTGTCACTTGCCCAAAAAATGGTCTTCTTACTAATCTTATCAGTGTAGGGTTTTTCAGATTTACTCTAAACCTAGTGCCAAGTCCTTGTCAAAAGAACTCCTATAGTGCTTTAGCCATTGGTTACCAATCATGATGAATATTAAAATTACCCAGGTAGCTCTGAAACGTACTAGTACTTTGGCCCCATATAATTACATTAGAAACTCTTGAGGCGTTGATATTTTATAAACTCCCCTTTGGCTATGTAATTCATGATTGACAGCCTTTGTTTTTACATTTAGCTAGTTAATTGTTTGCTAAGTCACCTTTGATAGTGAACCTTTGTCCCGGAGGCCACCAGGATCTGTACATTGAACTCTAATGTAGAGCAAGCCGTTAACGTATTCTGTGGAACAGTATGAAAATCATCAGAATTTTACATTATGTTCTCCTGTGATTTAAAAGACCATAGGTAATTTCTCTAAGATCTAAGTGAAATGAGGGATATAGGAGTTTTCTTTCCAAGTTAGATTTCAGATGAACCATTTCATCATGTATCATGCACAATACATTTAGCCTTGACTGGTAGAGATTTTAGAACATGCATCCCATTTTCTTTTGGTGCAGTAGTTCTCAACATGTACACTGGAATAATTACTCCTCATCCCAAAGTAGTAGAAGTACTTTGGATTTTCTTGAAAGTACTGGAAAACAAACCTGAAACTACTAATTCCAGTTGCACATAATATATAATAGAAGCCCAGATAACTTACTTTTAATAAACTACTGTGTTTTCCTCTGGGTAGTAGGGCTCTAGTTTGCTTTTCTCTGTGTGTTGATTTCCTAATTTTTTACATAACAGTCTTTGTTAATATCATCTAAAAATTATTTATAATGAGAGATGTGCATCTCTATTTGCTCATTAAAAAAATTCTCTCATTTAAAAACAACTATCTCAATCTCCTCGTTAAGACATATAGCTTATTCTTCAGAACTTTCCTGGTTATTATATATACATATTTTTAGTGTAAAGTAATTGTCTTAAATGTTTAATTCTTTTCTCTTTGAGATTCTAATTTAAAATTAGGAAGTTAACTGCATTTCTGAGCTAAATTGGAAGTTTTGAAATATTTCATATGTACTTGAACTTTAAGCCAAGTTTTTCTTTCTTCATTAAGAGAATAATTAATACAGTAAGTTATCTTAATATTAATTTACTAAGAAAAAGGAAGTACGGGAAGTCCAGAACACTTGTCAAGATTCATAATTTATTTCTGGAGGAAAACAATTTATTTAATTTTGATAAAAAAGATTACATGTTCATTAGTTATTTGTGAATACTGTAAGGATGCAAAATGAAATTAAAAATATGTACTTAATATTACTGCATAATAAATGGATGTTACATTGAATTGCAGCAGAGAGAGGATCTGTTCTGATTTAAGAGTATGCGAAAAAGTAAAATTTTAGAAACGCATGGTTAAATTATGGGAAATGTATAAATTCAGTAAATAGTATACTGTGTGACGTATCTTTTGTGAAATAAAAAGAATAATCCATCTCTTTCCTCTTAACAGGTTGTAAAAGCATATGATCGTGTGGAACAAGAATGGGTTGCAATTAAAATAATAAAGAACAAGAAGGCTTTTCTAAATCAAGCCCAGATAGAAGTGCGACTTCTTGAGCTCATGAACAAACACGACACTGAAATGAAATACTACATAGGTAAATAAATAAAGCACTGTGCCCCAGTCCAGACCAGAAATGTAAAAACTAGTGGTTATTTTTTTGCTAAATATGTTGATTTTTCTCTCTAAGTGATTAATTGAAAATTCAGATTGTCTTTTGTAGAGCAGAGATTCATTACTTTATCACCAACAATATTTAGAGTCTTTTGGAATGTGCATTCCACATTGTACACAATGTAGAAAGCTAAGAATATAGTATTTTTTGACATTTGTTTGTATTGCAAATTTATTCAGAAGCTAATCTTTCTTAAATCTTTAACTGTTTCTCTTGTTATTCAGAATCTAGAAGTAAGCCAATATACTTTTAATGTTTATAAAAATGGTTTTTGAAATTTGCACTTAGATATCACACTCCTCCCGATATATGACAGTATTAGATGTTACTAGATTATAACAAAAATAAAAAAATAAAATGTAACAGCCATAATTTATGGAGCCTCTCCCATATTCCTGGGACTTTTCTTCCGTCATGTCATATGTTGTAATCATAGCAGTCCTAGAAAGGAGATTGGTGAAAGAACCATTATTTTACAAATGGTCTGTTCAAGTACCTAATGGTTTTGGATCTGAATTGACCTCTGCATCATTCCAAAACCTGTGTTGTAAGTTGTCATCATACCATCTCCCTTCTGAAAACAAAAAAGGATATCAGAGAATTAGGAACCAATCGATTGATGAATAAAACATTTTCTAAATGTACCTCCTGTAATATTTTAAATCCATATTTACTATTTAATCAATATTTAATATTGTTATAATATTTTTAATCAGTTCTAAGATCCCAGTGATTGTACAGCACCATTTTATTCACTCCCATGAGGACAAAATACCACCATAGAGTTGTAAGCTACTTTTAAAGACACACACTGTAGGATTGGTGAATTATGGAAGGTTCTGTAAGCACAGATACCAAGTAATTCATACTCCAAAAGCTGTCTTTGCCTGATAATGATGTTACCTTTTCCTTCTTCTTATGATTTCTGTTTAACCAAATGTTTTAAACCTAGACATGCGCCATGGCTGTGGGATGACTTATGCCACATGTAATGAAGTTTTTAGTTCTATACATCAATAAAGATAATTTTAAAGATTTTCTGTTACGATTTTAAGAATGTCAGCTAGTACTGTAGACTCTGTGTAGACATTGTAGTGTTTCTATTGTGTTACTTATCCGTGCTTTAGATATATATGTCATCAGTGATTTGAAGACAATGTTTATTTATGCTACTTCAAAGGGTACAGTCTAAAATTACTAATAGCACAACACAGAAACCAAAACCAGATCCACTGTTACTGTATAAGTTTTGATTCATAGCCACATTCTATTGGGTTTCCAAGGCTTGAAGCCTTTGCTGGAGCAGACTGCCTGTCTTTCTCCTTTGGAGCTGCTGACTTTTCAGTTTAGCAGTCCAGCTAGTTGTGTATTATGCCATGAATTCTTCTTGGGACAACACAATGTATCTGCAGTTTTCTTCTTGTTTTTAGATGCTGTCAAGTTGACTACAACTCACAGTGATCTTACGTAATAGTAGATAGAAACCCTGGCTTATCCTGTTCCACAGTATCTGTTGTGCTTAGGCTTACCATGTCAGTTATAGTGAGTCTTTTGTTCACTGATCCTTCACCTTTCTGAGCATGATGTCCCTTTCCGTAGATTGGCCCAAAGTATGTGAAATGAAGCAGTGCTTGCTTCCATATTTGCTTGTTCTCCAGGATTTGTTAGTTTTTTCAGTCCATTTTATATTCATTATTCTTCACCAGCACCACAATTCAGGTTTTTTAGTTCTTCTCTGTTCACCTTTCACATGTATGTGATGAAGCAATTGAAAATAAGACACCTTTGGTCAGATGCCCCTTAGTCTTTAAAATGAGAGGTTTATTCCTTGGCTGTTTAAAGAGGTTCTTGGTAAGAGATTTACTCCAGGTAACATGTCATTTTATTTTGTGACTACTGCTTCCATGGATGTTGATTGTAGATTCACATGAAATCAAATCTGATAAAAGTTTAATCTTTTTTCCTGCTTAATCATGATGTTACTTTTTGATACAGTTATGAAGATTTTTTACTCTTTTCATGTTGAGATGTGTTCTGTACTGAGGAATTGATTGGTCTTTGCCCTTTTTTCATAAAGTGCTTCAAGTCCTACTTGCCTTCCATAAGCACTGCAATTCATAGTAACTGAATATTGAAGACTGATAGAGAACCTTTTTATGATACTGAAATGAAGGCAGCAGTGTTTAACAAATGCATTTTTGTCATTTCAGTTGTGAGTGCTTTTTGAAAAATGGAAGTACTTTTTTCTAGAAACACCGTTATTCTTCACTAGCATCATCATCTGTTACAAAGTCCGTGTTATACTCTCTTTGTTAAACTTTAGTGACTATTAACCCTTTTTTAGAGGGTCAGCACTGAGTAATGTCGTCTGTATTATTTTCCCATTTATAAGCTTGCTTGCCATTTCATTTTCAGTTCCCCTATTTTGAACTTCTTCCAGAGTCTTATATAAGACTAGTTTTAGCAATTTGATACACAGAATAAAATGCCTTGACTATGAGCACATATGTTTTATGAAGCATAATTTTCAAAATTTGCCTAAAAGGTAAACAAAGTCTGTTTTAATTCTTTTAAAACGGCTGTTGTTATAGAAAATTACTAATGAGACCTAATGCTCAGCAGAGCAGCTTGTGTATCCACTGCCCTGTCAGAGAGAGGTCTGCTGCTTGGAGGGGTGCAGCCAACCAGTGGCCCCATAGGTGGAGCTTAGAAAGAGAACGTTGGGGTAGGACTCTCAGAAAGTAAATAAAGGCCTTTCTTTTTATAAATGAATGTAAAGTTGTTGAGGTACCTGCAACTTATTTTGTTAATTTGCGAATTGTGTGTTTTTTACATCTGATTTTGGTGATATTTCTAACTTGTATCTCTTACTGGCAGATATAACACCTTTATAGTTCAGAAAAGTAATTTAGATATTCTCAACTCCTTAAAGAGTGTTATTACTACCAAATGCCATCATCAGACTGTGACTGTATTTTACTACACTCTTGATGTTAGTTACAGTGTTACCGTGTTATGGAATTGAACATGTGCACATTACTCTGATTTTTATGGTATAGATTTTTTTTTAGTATATATTTTTTCAAATGAAACTTGTCTTTTCTTACAGTGCATTTGAAACGCCACTTTATGTTTCGAAACCATCTCTGTTTAGTATTTGAAATGCTGTCCTACAACCTCTATGACTTGTTGAGGAACACCAATTTTCGAGGTGTCTCTTTGAACCTAACACGAAAGTTTGCACAACAAATGTGCACTGCACTGCTGTTCCTTGCGACTCCAGAACTTAGTATCATTCACTGTGACCTAAAACCTGAGAATATCCTTCTTTGTAACCCTAAACGCAGTGCAATCAAGATTGTTGATTTTGGCAGTTCTTGTCAGTTGGGGCAGAGGGTAAGTAATTTATAATTTGTGAATTAAAATAGAATTTGATAATATATACTGTAAATAGATACTTGAAATGTTGCTAAAAATGCATAATCAGAAATTTAGAAATAATTATAATGTTATTTATCTTTAAAATATTGTCTAAAATAACTTTGTATTGATGTATGTTGTTACTGTTTTATGCCGTCAAGTCTCTTACGACTCATAGCGGCCCTATGTACAACATCCCTAAGCTCAGCTCTGTTTTGTGCCAGTCTCACTGTCTCCAACACATCCACCCCAATTACCCCAGTCACTGAATCAATCCACTTCATAGAGGGTCTTCCCCTCCTGAGCTGTCCCTCCACCCTCCCAAGCATGACGTCCCTCTCCAAGGACCTCTCTAAAGTATGTCAGATGAAGCCTCAGAATCCTTGCCTCCAAAGAGCAGCCCCATTTAACCCTCTCCAGGATGAACCTGTTCGTTTTCTTAGCCTGCATCTTTTAAGATGCAAATAATGCTGCTTTGATGGAAAAGAGTGATTATTCAATATATATCAACATATTGATATTTAATTTTGAATTATAATAACTAAAAGACTAAGAATAAGAGATGAAATAATTAAACACTAGATAATTTGTCCCTATATTACACTAAAACCCAAAAAGAGGTTTTAGTTTCAGTTCATGGGTATTCCAGTTTGCCTCCAGAAAACCCTCTGAACCTGGAGAGAGGATGATAGACACACAAGCCTTGAGGACTTTTCCTTCATAGAGTCACTATGAGTCACCTGCGACTTGATGGCACTTTACAGCAACTACAACCTTAAACTTGTTATTCCAGATTCATGAGATTTTCAACTGCTGTTTCTTAACCAGGTTTGAAATACAGCAAATTATCATAAAGATAAGCCAATTAATAGGCTTGTTTGTCTGTTTTAAAATTTAATCCTAACTTAATTTAGGATCAGTGATACAAATTTTAAAAATTGAAGACTTTCAAGCAGAGTTTGTAGTTTTAAAGGTTCTAAGCCTCTGAATGCTGATTGTGGGACAGACCACCAACTACTCATATGCAAGTTCAAGCTGAAGTTGAGGAAAATTAAATCAAGTCCACAGGAACCAAAATTTGAACTTCAGTCTATCCCACTCGAATTTCAAAACCATTTTAGGAAAAGGTTTGAGGCCTTGAGCACCAGTGAGCATAGACCAAACGAGCTCTGGGAAGATATCAAGAAAATCGTCCGTGAAGAATGGAAAAGATCATTACAAAGGCTGAAAAAGAAGAAAAGACCAAGATGGATGTCAGATGAGACTCTGAATATTGCATTAGAGTGCCAAGAAGCCAAAGCTAAAGGAAGAATCCAAGAAATCAAAGAGCTAAACAGAAAATTTCAAAAGACAGCCCAGGATGACAAAGCAAGATCCTATAATGAAATGTGCAGAGAGCTGGAGTCAGAAAATCAAAAGGGCCAGACTCGCTCAGTGTTTCTTAAGCTGAAGGAACTGAAAAACACATTCAAGCCACTGGTGGCAATACTTAAGGATACTTTGGGTAGAATGTTAAATGATCCCGGAAGTATCAAGAGAAGATGGAAGGAGTACACAGAGTCACTGTATCAGAAGGAATTGGCTGACACAGAAGAATTTCATGAAATGACATATGAGCAAGAGCCTATGGTGATGAAGGAGGAAGTTTGAGTTGCTCTGAAGGAATTGGCAAAAAACAAGGCTCCAGGAGTTGACGGCATACCAATTGACATGTTTCAACAAACAGACACTGTCCTGGATGTGCTCACTAAGTTGTGCCAAGAAATCTGGAGAACAGCCAGCTGGCCCACTGACTGGAAAAGACCGATATTTGTTCCCTTTCCAAAGAAAAATGACCCAACAGAGTGTGGAAATTATCGAACAATATCATTAATATCACATGCAAGCAAGATTCTGCTGAAAATTATCCAAAAACGTTTAGAACAATATATCAACAGAGAACTGCCAGATATGCAGGCTGGATTTAGAGGAGGTCATGGTACTAGGGATATTATAGCTAATGTTAGTTGGATCTTGGCAGAAAGCAAAGAATACCAGAAGAATGTCTATCTGTGCTTCATTGACTATACAAAGGCTTTTGACTGTGTGGATCACAACAAGCTGTGGCTGACTTTGAGAAGAATGGGAATCCCAGAACATTTGATTGTGCTAGTGCAAAACCTATACTTGGACCAAGAGGCAGTCTTCAGAACAGAGCAAGGAGGACACTACATGGTTCAAAATCAAGAAGGGGGTTCCTCAGGGATGTATTTTGTCTCCATACCTTTTCAGTCTGTATGCAGAACAGATCATCCAAGATGCTGGGCTATACGAAGAGGAATGTGGCATCAGAATTGGTGGAAGAATCAACAACCTGCATTATGCAGATGAAACAACCCTGCTTGCTGAGACTGAGGACCTGAAGCGCTTGCTGCAGAAGATCAAGGACTGTAGCCTCCTTTATGGACTGAAGCTCAACATAAAGAAAACAAGGATTCTCACCACTGGGCCAATTGGCAGCATCAGTATGGATGGTGAAGAGATTGAGATAGTTAACAGTTTTAGTTTACTTGGCTCCACAATCAACACTCTTGATAACAGCAGTCAGGAAATCAAGAGGAAAAATTGCATTGGGAATGTCAGCTGTGAGGGACCTCTCAAGAGTACTGGAGAGCAATGACATCAGACTGATGACTAAGGTGTGCCTGATTTAGGCTATAGTCTTCGCAATTACATGCTATGTATCAGAGAGTTGGACAGTGAATAAGGTTGATAGAAAGAGAATTGATGCCTTTGAGCTGTGGTGCTGGAGAAGAGTGTTGAATAGACCATGGACTGCTAGGAGAACAAACAGGTTTGTCCTGGAGAAGGTGAAGCCGGAATGCTCCATGGCGTCAAGGATTCTGAAGCTTCGTCTGACATACTTTGGGCATGTTGCAAGGAGGGACTGGTCCTTGGAGAGGGACATCATTTTTGGTAGAGTGGAGGGGTGCGCAGGAGAGGAAGACCTTTGATGCGATGGATCAATGCTGTGACTGGAGTGGTGGGAATAAGTGCCTTTGAGATGGCTAGGTTGGCACAGGATAGAACAGCATTTAGAGCTCTTGTACATAGGGTCGCTATGAGTTGCAAGTCACTTGATGGCACATAGCAACAACAACAATGAGCCTCGGAAAATCTGGAGATTGTTAATAGAGTTTGGTAAATATGACATCAAATACCTTGTGAATGAGAAATACATACTTGTGTTTAGAGTAATTTAAGTAGACTTGGATTTTTTTTCCCCTTAAATAAGAGCACTGTTTTTCTCTTCATGTTGAACACTACTCCAGTCAGACTGAGACAAATAATCTTTATGGTTTGGTAAGTTTTTATATTTACAGAAATGAGTCAAAATTATGGCTAACCTCATGTCTAAAAAACACATATGCTGTGGCCTTAACCTTCCTGTATGTAATGGATCAAAAGGTGGAAGGCAAATAGTTTTTGAATAAGCTGCTTAATTGTATAGAGGATCCATCCACTACTTTAGCCAAACTGCATAGATACCTAACTTGAATGAGTTAGTCTTAATAGAAGGGATTTCTAAAGCCTGGGAAGTTTGATGGTGGCTGGCCTCGCATATAAAACCTAGGTATATGGTACTTCCAGTTATTTTGAACAGTTCCTGTCAAGAATGGGGAAGCAGGATATTAAGTAGAGCCACCTAGCTCTCCTGGTAAAGCGGTACCACCCTGATTTGGGAGTTTAATTAGTAATATTTCTAGATGTACATTTATAGTGGCCATTGTCAGATTTTGCTGTTTGAACACAAATGCTCTATTTCCAGGAAGGCTTGGTTTGACATAAAGAAAAAGGACAGAGCAATGACTTGGTTCTCTTGAGGTAGTAGTTGTTACTTTTGTTATGTGCTCTCATATCAGAACTAACTGACAACTGACTCTGCAGGGGGGTTTAAAAGGCTGGAAATCACGCATGAGGAGATTGCCCATCTCTCTCTCTCTCTGTCTCTCTCTCTGTCTCTCTCTCTGTCTCTGTAGCAGAAGAATGCTTGTCTTTGGGTTAGCAGCAAAATTCCTTACCACTAAGCCACTGGATTAGGGAGCTCTGTGGCTTATTAGTGTAAGGAATTGCACTGTCATCCCAAAGACAGGTGGCTTGAATCCACCAGCTCCTCTGTGAGAGAGGCCTCTGAAAACCCTCTGGACAGTTAGCTTTAAGTCAGTTTTGATTCAGTGGTACACAACAAGCCACCAGACAGAATAGTATAGATGTCTCAATTTTAAACAACCATGGTACTGAGGTAATTGGACTCTATAATGTAGAGAAATTTTCCTTTTAGGTTTATTTAAATTTAGCTGCTAAGTTAAATGATGAACCAGGTACCAGCTATAGTAGGAAGGAATTAATCATGGGAAAAAATTTTTTTTAAAAATAAAGTATAATGACTTACGTTACACACACACACACACACACACCCATTTCATAGTCCAACAAAGGTTAACCAGTACCTTGTCATGTTGAGGTCTTTAAACCATATTCTTCAAGACTCCGGTCCATATCAAGCTGAATAGACCCAAATTTAGGAGTTGTTTAACAGGTTTTTGTTAATTGTCAAATCAGTATTTATAATCAAACATCTAGAATGCATTTTGGAATTAATACTATTTTGAAATCTTTTTCAGATATACCAGTATATTCAGAGTCGCTTTTATCGGTCTCCAGAGGTGCTACTGGGAATGCCTTATGACCTTGCTATTGACATGTGGTCCCTCGGGTGTATTTTGGTTGAAATGCACACTGGAGAACCCTTGTTCAGTGGTGCCAATGAGGTAAATGAGTCTTACTTTGGAATCATCATCTTGGTTTTCATATCTTTTCCCCCTGTGTTTTCTCATTAAGATTGTGATCTTCTCATTGCTTTCAGGGGAGAGAAAAAAGATGTCTCTCTGCCAAATTTATTCTTTGCGTAGTCATTTAATGTTGAATTTAGAATTATTAGATGAGAAATAAGATACTTTTAATCTATACACGTATGTTCATAATAACGTGCACAAATAGCAAGAACATACATAGAAACAGCCCAAGTGTTCAACAACAAATAGATTGAGAATTTTTGGTTAATTCACACAATGGAATACTGTGTAACACTAAGAATAATTTTGCAAAATAGTCTATAACATGGAACTCAGTCTCATAAGGACATACGCTGCTGAGAGTCTTATTGTAAAACCAGAAAATTAATTAATAAGATGTGTGGAAACGTCCAGAAGGGGAAAGAGGGTAGAAAAAGGGGAAGAATATAAATCACTTGGGTAGCAAAGTTTAATGGGTAGATTTGGGGTTAGTGATATGAAGGAATAGGAAAAATTTAATGGAGAGTAAGAATAGGCTCATAATAGGTATAGATCCATAGTAATTCATTGTATGTCAATGATTATATGAAACACAATGTAAATGAATTTTAAAAATAATTCACTCACCTAAAAAAAACTATTTTTTTAATCTATTCCTGAAGCAGAAACATGGATTAGATTAGAATGTATAATATATTTTAGTGTAATTTACAGATTTTGCAAGCATAAAGATAACAAAGGAATGAAGGCAAAACCAGAGAACAGTGTAAGGCAAAACTAAAGATTGTGAGACTGTATTTTGTAAAAAAGTTATGATCCCTGGCTTTGTTGAATACTCCATCTGAGTAAAGATAATGTAAGATTATTTTAGCGCTGTAAAAGATGTGCAATTCTCCAAGTCTACTAATTTTTGGCCTATTTGTTAGATTTAAAGCTCCAATGCAGTCCTGTGGCATAGGATAGGTAGATGGAGAAGGAGGAAAGTGCAGAGTTAAAAGTGAACACCATATTCCTCTTCAGTCAGCAGACCTGATCTTTCACATGTTTTAAAAGGATTCACTTATAATGGTTTTGTTTTATTAGCTTATTTTTAAAAGAGAAGTTGACTATTGCTTATTTTGATTGAAGTATTACTTACAAATGTAAAAAACAAGTTGAAACCAAGGACATGAAATTCTTTGGATTGTTCTGCTATTAATAGTGTCCTTTCCTTGTTTGATTCATTTCAGCTATAATGAATTAACTCCTTACTGTTTGTCTGATTTTGTTTAAATAGAAGTAATATTTCTCTGGAAATTATTACATTTCTTGGGCTTAAATAATATTAAAATTGCCTGATCCTTTAAACAAATCCGTTTTTGAGTGGCTCAAAGTCAGCTTGCTCTGACTCTTATTAAGTCAGACCTTGACCCCTGCTCTTCTTACCCCTCTCTCGCCCATCCAGTACACCTTCTCTGCTGTCCTTTCAGAAACAACCACCCATGGGTCTCAGTGCATTCTCTTTTTTAAGTGGTGTTATTTTAACTAAAACTCTCCAACATTGAAACTTTATAAACATCCTTTTTAAATTTTGTTTATAGTATTCTGATGCACCGTAGATTTTCTGTTTTCTCCACTGAAATGTTCAGTTCTAAGAGGGAGCTTAATAAATAGCGAGAGATGCCTGGTAAATGATAAAATATTTTGTTTACTCATGCATGAGTGACATGATCGTATGGAAGTAGAATATACACTGGAAATTACAGTTGTTTCATTTTTTGTTTATATGTGCAGGTGGATCAGATGAATAAAATAGTTGAAGTTCTGGGTATTCCACCTGCTCATATTCTTGACCAAGCACCAAAAGCAAGAAAATTCTTTGAGAAATTGCCAGATGGCACTTGGAACTTAAAGAAGACCAAAGATGGAAAACGGGTAATATAGGGATGAGGGTGGTTGTGTGAGTTTGTTTGCCTGTGTTATTTCTTTGACCATATTGACCATCTTTTATGTACTTGAAATCAGTTTTTTCAGTTAGCAATACTATTAAGAAGTTGGGTACATACTCTGTTTAAAAAATGCATACCTTGACTTAAGTTATTTGTTTAGATCAGTATTTGCTTAATGGCTAGGATTCTCTTTCAGATTCCATTAAAAAAATCGTGCCTCTTTTAATTTTTTTCCAAAACATCTGATCAGATCACCATGTTGTGTTGCAGCAGTAGAATCATTAAGTTTGACCTTTGTTATAACTGCAGTAAAAGGATGGCTTTTTGGTTGGTTTTATTAAATAAGTTGGTAAAATGAGGAATATAAGAGGTGATTTTTGGGTAGAAATTTTTTTTTTTAACAATTCTTTTGAAGCCTGTGAACTGACTAAATAGGATAAACTAATGAGGATCTATTTAAGATTCTTAGCTCCTAGTTTTGTACAGTAAGAATTTTACATCTCAAATATTCAAGTAAGATAAAATTTTTAAAACTAGGTTAGTCATTTCCCAGAAATTTTTCCTGAATACCAGAACAATGTCAATTTAGTATGATAAATTTTTGGTAATTTGGCCCTTTAATTTACCTTTTTTTTTTTTTTCCTTTCCCTGATCCTGTATTGTCAACGCTCTGGGTTAACACCCTCAGCAAGAGGGGGAGAGAAACAAACTCTTAACCAAAGATTGAGGGGAGAAAGCTCTGAAAAAGGAAAAGAGACACAGGAGCTCTCACTTCACTCAGGGAACCTTTTTATTTTAGAAACCTATCAATATTTTTTTTAATATCAAGCATACATTTAGTGTAAAATACAGCAAACTTGTATCTGCATATGCTGTATAAGCATCTCTCTCTTACCTTCTAGTTTCGATTTTTAACTCTTTAAGAGATTGACTTTTGCTTTAGTTATTTTGCCCATGCTCTTTAGTGATACTGCCACCAGGTGTCATTTTTAAGCAAGTGAATAACGTGGTTCACTTTTATGTGGCTTTGGACTGTGAATATCAAATGATTTACTTTAAAATTATTTTTTAAAAATTTATGTAATTGTACTTTTCACAACCAAAACTATGACCTAGAAATACTCCTTAGCCCATCAGCATTCAAGGTAGCCCACAACTGTTGACTTGAATTTATTTAAAGGATATGAATTCTGTTTTTTGTTCTCTGCAGTAGAGATGGCACTTGTCTTTCCATTAGATTTCCCCCCACTTTTGTTCTTTTTTCTTTTATTTGATGGGTGTTTTTGTTGTTGTTGTTTACTAAATGATTTTCCTTTCCCACTATATTTCACCACAGTATTTCCAAATTTGTGTTCTGATACCAACCTAATAGCTATAGATGATATTCTATCATTTCTTCCCCATTGAACCATAATAGTAATAACTACTATGATTAGTAGTTATTATTGGTGTGGGGAACATTTCAGAGATGAGTGGATAAACTTTACCCCTTTTTTTATAGAACAGTGGGACTTGGCCTCCACTTAATACATTTTTAACTTTAGAGTTAGAGATTTCCCTTGGCTATATTAGCTGTTGTTGTGTACTATTGCATCAGAATTGACCCATAGCTGACTCTCCAGTGAGCTTTCATAATCAGAGTGCTCAGCTTTCTCCTGAGGAACCCGTGGTGGATTCGAACCAGTTTCTTTGGGATTGCAGCACAGTTTCTTACCACTAAGCCACTAGAGCTTCCCTTAAGAATAATTTTTCTTAAAGTAAAAAAAAATTTCTCTTGATAAAAGTAAATTTTAAAATAAAAGCTCTAGTCCATAACCAAATATGATTACATTATAAGATACACACTAAAGATTCTAAGCCTAAGTGTAAATACAGGTGCACATAGCATCCATGGTTTTATAGTTCTGCATTGTTTAACATTGTTTCAAACAATATCTAACCACATGGATAAGATCCTAGACCCTGTAAACCATATTATATTAAAAAAACCAAGGTTCACAAATGGGCACTTTATGACATGTATACAATCAAACCATTTTTAATTGCTGAATTAAAATATTTTAATGTATCTGAGATTACTGTTTTAATGTTTTTTATGTAGCAAACTAAGACAAACATTTGACTATCTTCTATTATATCTGAACTCTATTTAACTGTTGCTTACTTAGATACAAATTAAACTTAAAAGCCAATCTAAGGAATGGAAGTCCTTTCTAATCCAGGAGCCACTTGTATATGTTAAAGTGTTTTCATAATCTCTCTATCAAGTAATGTCCTGTTTCACAGAATGTATCATAGAGATAAGTGAAACATAACTGTTAACTATTTTTAAGAATCATCTTTTTTTTTTTTTTTAGTTTGTTTTAAAGGACTCATTTTAGAGGTTTTTAGTCATGAGATTCATGATCATTATGAAATTCTTTTTTATTGAGAAGAAAGATGATGAAAAACTTCTGGATCTTAAGTGATCAACTTTAACTTTTATATACAACAAAGTACTAACTACATAAAACAAGAAACACTGTTTACATGACCCTAAAAATTAATTTTGTAACTGTTCCTGTAAGATTTTGTTCTTAAACAATCATGGCATCTGTAAACAAACCCCTTTTTACTTTCTTGTTTCCATCTATATAAGTTTTATTCCTTTTTATTACTGTATTACTATATTCAAACAAAACAGCTCAACTCAACTGCTTTTGAGTCAGAACCACCTCATAGCTGATTCTGTAAATTGCATGGAAGAAGATTGTCCATCTTTTGCAAAACAGCTGGTGAATTTGATCTACCTGTGTTTGGGGCAGATAGATAACTCTGCTTCCACTAGGCCACCAGAGCTCCCTGTTAGATTCACTAAGACCACCATCTGTTGAATAGTCGGGGTATAGACATCTTGCCTTGTTCAGGAAAAGTATTCAGTCGTTCAACATTAAATGTGACTTTAGTTAAATTTTTTTTGTAGTTACCTTTTATCAGGTAAGGGAAAAAATACATTTTGTAGTGATTTGAAGATTGTTTTTAAAAATGAGTTTTAAATGATATAAGACATCCTATATTGCAGAGGGGATCATACAATGATCACTTGTTAAGGTGATCAGTAGTTAATCTTTTTTGGACTGCTTAACCTATATATCTTTTTTATATATATTCTTATATTTACTGTGTTTCATTTGCTAGCCTTTTTGCAAAGAGTATTAGGGTTTCCTCCCTTTTTTATTATTAATTTTAATGAACGTTTCCAGAGATTTTGGATTTTCATTCATTCATTCATTGTTGCACTTTTCTGCCTACCCCTCCCCTCCAGTTCGTTCTTTAAAAAGTAAAAGAAAAATTCCTTCATTGTTATACAATCCCTCCTCCCAAGTCCACTCCACTCTGCAGCCTTCGTTTGGGACACCTGTCATGACGATAATACCTAATCATATATCCCCTTTAAACAGTTCTCTCCCTCATCTGTTTAAATGCAGTACATAATTTATCCCATCTTTCTCAGTCTCCTCCCAACCCTGATGTCAGTCCTATTTTACAATAGTGGCACTATGTAGTACTTGTCCTTTTGTGTCTGAGATATTTCACTCAGCATCATGTCCTTCATTTTGAATAATATTGTAGGAGTTCCTTGTTTTTCAGTGCAGCATAGTATTCCATTGTCTGACTATACCATAGCTTCTGTATCATTGATGGGCACTTGGGTTATTTCCAGCTCCTTGCTATTGTGAACAAAGCTGTGATAAACATGGGTGTGCATATCTCTTTGGGTGGTGGTTATGGTTTCTTTGGGGTATATTCTCAGTAGTGGAATTGTTGGGTCAAATGGTATTTCTATTTGCAACTTTTTGAGAAAGTGCCATACAGCCTTCCATCATGGTTGTACCATTTTACACTCCTACCAAAAGTGAATACAGGTTCCAGTTTCTCTATAACCTCGTCAGCATTTTATGTTTGCTGTTCTCTTAAATTTTGCTGTTCTTACTGGGGTGAGATGATACCTCACAGTTGTTTTGATTTGCATCTCCCTTAGAGCTAGGGATTTTGAGCATTTCTTCATGTGTTTGTTTGCCATCTGAATGTCTTCTTTGGTAAAGTGTCTGTTCATATCCTGTACCCATTTTTCAGTTGGATTGTTTACGTTTATCTTGTGGTGGTACTCAAGTATTTTCTAAATTCTAGATATAAGTCCCTTATGTGACCTGTCATTACCAAATATACCCACCCCACCCCCCACCCCCAGTCTGTGGCTTCCCTTTTTATCCGGTTGGAGAAGTTTTTGGATGTGCATAAGGATTTTATTCTTAAAAGGTCCCATTCATCTATTTTATCCTCTCCTGCTTGTAGATTTTTCAAGATTCTTGGAAGACTATTTATGTTGTGGATTAGGACTTCTAGAGTTCTTTCAAGCTTTTCTTTAATGATGTTTATAATCCTTGATTGTTCCTGTGTCAGTTACAGATATTTGTATTTATTAGATTTGAGTCTTAGGATTAGGTTGATTTCTGGAAACAGAATATTCTTTCTTAATTTTCCAAATAATATTAGTGTATTCTTTTGTAAGTCTTTAGCATAATTGTTGTTGTTTGATGCCGTCGAGTCGTAGACGACTCGTAGCGACCCTATGAAGGAACGGCCTGAGCACTGTTCGTACATAGAGTTTCCGGAGGCAAGCCATTTCGGAAGTGGATGCCGCTCCTGCTTCCAGGCTTGATTTAGTCGGGAAGCTCCAGCCAACACTGTCCACCATTGGGTGCCCATTACCACGATTGGCACATC